CGGGCAGCCCCCCTCCAGCGTCCTCCTGCCAGGCCCTGGCCCCGCTCGGGGGTGCCACAGGCGCTGGGCAGGGGCAGAGCCGCGGTGCTGTGCCACTCCGGCTCCTGCAGTGCCCTTCTCAGTGAGGGCACAAAACCCACGGGCAACACTGCAGCCAGGCTTCTGCTCCGTCTCAGGCTATCCCAACTGCCAACTGCAGACACGGCAGGGAACGAGTTTAAAAGTCTTGTTTCCATTGCTTTTCTTTTTTTTAAAGCAATTAGTAATACACATACGTAAGAAAAAAAATCCGGTTCTAGTGGTACCAGCAAGCACATCTCTTCCACTCACTATTTGTTCAAGAGAAAGAGAACGTAAGGTTTAGAACAAAACATGCTTTAACAAAACTCTGTAGCAAGTTGCTGTGGCTCTAGAGACCCGTAAGAAACCCAGTTACTATCTGGTGTCTGAATTCACAAGAACTTCTTCCAAAGGGGAGGATGGGGATTTAATCTGGACAAAGAAAGAGGAACTAGAAAGCAGCCAGCACACAATTTGTTTTCCTCCCTAGACACAGCCATCTCTGCCGTCCCTTGACGGCCCCTCTCCAACGTGTCCCAGAGCAGAGCTACTCCAGCCACGGCAGCCACCAGCGGGCACTGGAAACACCAGCACCCATGACTGGGGCACGCCGTGCCACGCTCCATCTGCGCCATGCACCACACCACGCTGGACCTGCGTGACAGAGCGCAGACGGGATAGAGCACCTCTGAATTTCATCCATGTACAGCCAAAAGAAGAACAGTTGGGTTTAACTTTTTCCTACAGAAACAACAACTAGAAAACATGAAATTTGCTATAAGTCAGGATGGAAGAGTCTCTTCTAAAGTGGCAGCTAACAGATTTCCAAACAAGTCTGTTGTGAAGTGCAGACAACGAAGCCAACCCAGCTCCAGGGCAGGCTGGTATCTACTCCAAAAACAGCTTTGGATTCCAAAGAAGGAAGCAATTAAACTGTTTTCAGAAGCCTAAATGAACAGTAATAAGCATATCATACAGCAGATATAGCACTTGCTTAGGACACCCAGCTTCATACACAGGTGCACAACTAATTGTTTTAGATCAAAGAATTGATAGAATTCTTAAGGCTTGCATTCATAAAGTCCCAACACTTTAGAGAATCTATCCTGAAAACC